GGACTCCTACGCGCTCTGCTCTGCCCAGGCACAGCTCGCTGCTCCTTCCCGCAGCCCACGGCTGCCTCGGCGGCAGCAAAACACGGGCATACGGCACGGAATGGGAAAATCGGCGCTGCTCCTCGCCCCCGGCGCCCCGCTCGGCTCAGCCCAGCTGCCGACTCATCCCTGCCGTGGAAGCGTCGAAGGAAAAGTTTCCCCGTCAGCACAAAACGCCGACACTTGGCCGAAGCTTCCCCTTGGCTGCTGCTGCCCTGGCCAGGAGTTCCCCCCGCTGGGGACACGCCAGGGCCCGGCCCCGAGTGGCTGCAGTGGGCACGGGTGGCAGGGGACAGGCCTGGTCCGTGCAGTGTGGCACTGGTGTGGCACTGGTCCCTGCAGTGTGGCACTGGTGTGGCACTGGTGTGGCCCCGGGGGCTGTCACAACCCCTGTGCTGCAGGGAAGGGAGGGATTCCCAAGGCCAGGAGCTCTCCCATTGGCACTGGGCAACGGATGATTGATCCCATGATGGATGATCGATCCCACGTCCCTTCCCTCGCTGCAAAGCTGCAGGATTTGGGCAGAGGGTTGCTGATGTCACAGCTGTGTGTCCCCTCCCCAACCTGCACCCCCCCTGGTCTGTATTTAAGTCCCCATGTAGGATTTGATGCCACGATCCAGAAATCCCAGGAAGCAGCCCAGGAGCACCCCATGAAGGTCCCCATGTCCCTCGCCGGCAGCCTGGGCCACAGTGGCCTGGTCACCCTGGAGGGAGCAGGGCCAGCCCCAAAAGGGAATCCCACAACCCCAATTCCTGATTCCAGGGGCCTCGCTGTGCATCAGCTTCCCACGTTCAAATCTGAGACCCCTCCCAGAAGCTCACAAACGCAGGAGGACTCTGAACTCAGCTCTTACTCACACAGAGCTCTCCCAGGATTTAAGGTGCTTAATTAGCGGTTTAAAAGAGTCACCAGCTGGGTGGGTGACACCCCAGCAGGTGTTATGCACTCCACAGGGCTCCAGCTTCCCTCCTGTCCTTTCCCAGGCTTACCTTGTGTCTTTTTTCCCTTTTCCTAATGATCCAGCAGAGGGGCAGGGTTTATAAGTCCATAGAAACTCTATTATCCCCATGCATTAAAGCCAAAAGCAACTAATTAAAACATCAAAGTCACAGGGTTCATTAGCTCGGCCTCGGTGCTGGTAGGAGGTGACAGGGATTGTGGCTGTCACCCGACTGCTCCCAGGGACCCCAAGGCTGGCCCTGCACCCCAAAACACATTCCCAGTCCCAGTGTCACTGGAAAAACCACTGGGCTGGGCAGGATCCTGTCACCTGCCCGTCCCTGTTCCCCAGCTGGTCACCTTTGCCTGCACCAGTGTGGAGAGGAGGGAGGCTGGGGACAGCTCTGCCACCTTTGCCATCAAAGCTCCTTCCCCCGGGAGCATCTCTAGCCCCATCACCACCCATCAGATCCCTATTCCCACCTGGCACAACAGGAGGGGGATAGGGATGGGTTCAAATTCCCAGCTCTGCACACCAGATCCCCTCTGGTGTGTGAAAACAGCCATTCCTTACTGGGAATGCTGCAGCATCCCTGGATCCGGGCGTTCCCAGCAGGCCACGGGAGATGGGGGACAACAGGGAAGTGGCACCGCTTGTGCTGCAGTGGCCACTTACCATCTAAGGGCCTGCATCCATCACCATGGTCACACTGAGCACCGGTCACTTTCACTGCCATGGTCACACCGAGCACTGGTCACTTCCACTGCCACGGTCACACTGCCGTGGTCACACAGAGCACTGGTCACTTCCACTGCCATGGTCACACAGAGCACTGGTCACTTCCACTGCCGTGGTCACACCAAGCACTGGTCACTTCCCACGTAAGGGCCTGCATCCCACTGTTGTGGTCACACTGAGATTTGGTCACTTCCCATTGGCATGGTCATATGGAGGATGGGTCACTTCCCATCCAAGGATCTGCATCCCATTGCCATGTTCCACTGACCATTGGTCACTTCCCAAAAGATGTCCATCCCATTGCCACGGCCACACTGACCATCGGTCACTTCCCCAAGGACCCGCACCCATGTCCACGGCCACACCGTGCCTCCCAGCCGGGGCTCGCTGTCCCTGTCCAGCGAGCGCCTTCCCTGCCCAGCCGCTCCCGGAGCCCAGCGGGATCCACGGGCTCTCACCGCACGTTTTCCTTTCCCAGCACGGCGCAGCCGTGCCCGGCGGGGAGGAGCCGTGGGCGAGGAGGAAGCCGGAGCTGCCAGCCCTTCGCCGGGCCCTGCGCGGGGAGCAGCAGCAGCAACCGCAAACGGGCGGCGGCTGCGAGTCCCCCCCACGGCAGAGATTTGGGTCCCCAAATCCCCGCAGGCTCCAACCCGCGCTGCTGGAACGGGCGCGTGTGGCCACTGCGGGAAAACTCCGCTCGTGGCCTAGCAGGGAGGAGAAACAGGAAAAAGGAAAAAAAAAAAACCACATAACCCGAGAGAGGAGCGGGGAACGCGCGGAGAACCCGCGGCCCCGGCGAGGGGCGGGCGGGGACGGAGCGGGTTCGTCTACCAGGGCTTGGGGACAAGGGGAAACTCCAGGCTCAGCTCCACCCCGGTGCTTTCGACTGCTAAACAATAGTGGAGAGGAGCAGCCGTCCCTCCCTGCTCTTACTCATCCTGCCCAAGGACCTGTGCCACCCTTCGGCTGCCCCCGCCCTGCCCGGCCTCTGCCCGGGGGCTCGGGCACGGCGGCTCCCTGCTCCGGAGTCGCGGGGCTCGGGTGACAGCGATAGATCCCCCGGGAAGAGATGCGGACCCACGGCACGCGAGCGGCGAGCCGGCAGCGCAGGGAATTCCCTCCGTCATCATCGCCAGCGGAAAAAAAAAAAAAAAAAAAAAAAGGAAAAAAAAAAAAAAACCAACACCCAACAACAGCCTGCGCCCTCTCAAACCTCTCTACCTGCAGCGCTCGCAGCACTTCCCAGCGCTTTTCCAGGCGGGAAGGGAGCGGGGAAGGAGCCGGGGCTCGGACGGGGCGCGGCAGCCGCGGCCCCGCCGGCGGCCAGGGCGGGACGGGGCCGGAGCCGCGGGGAATGCGCGGTGCCAGGGCAGGAATGGGGAAGCGCTGCCTCCTGCCCTGGGCGCTTCCCAGCTCCACCGGCACCATCCCGGCACCGGCACCTTCCCCGTGCCACGGCCACACGCACCCGAGGCAATCCAGCCCGGCCCCAGGGAGGCACAGGGCGCAATTTGGCCTCCAAGCCCACCCAGCGCTCACCGTTGAGGAAGGGTCCTGCATCCCTCAGATCCGAGGGGCACCTGCAGCCCCCCGTGAGCCGCCAGGCAGCCCGTGGGGAGGGTCCTGGGGGGGTCACCCGAGCGGGCAGCCGGGGAGGGAAGCCCAGGGCTGGGGAGGGATCCCCGGGGCGCGGCGGGGTGGGGCTGGCGGAGCGCGGGGGCGTCAGCCTCTCTCGCTCATGATTTAATAATTTAGGTGCGTTTCAGTGCTCAGAGAAGCGAAAGATTGAGGGCAGTGTCTGGAGGCAGGCAGGGCGCAGGCAGCGGTGCAGCCCCTGCCTTGTCCACGCAGCCCAGGGGTTTTGGGGTGGGGGGCTCAGCTCGGGGTCCCCCGGCCCCAGGACGGCTCTGGGTGCCCCATGGCGAGCTCCGAGCACTCACCTCCACCCCAGCTCGCTGCCCTCGGCTCCTGCCCGTCCACCCACGTCCAGGGCTGCCGGTCCACGGCCACGGGCAAAAACTGGCTGCACTGGTTTGAGCTTCGCAATGCAAACCCCCACCCAAGCTCAGGTCTCCAGAGATAAGAGCACAATAACCTATTGTCCCTCCTCCCCTCCCAACATCTCCACTCGCCTCTGGCGAAGCAGGGAGGGACCACCCAGCTCCGCACAGCCCCCCGCCCTCGCCGCCGGGCAGCCCACGGGGGGCACGGACCCACCGAGCCAGGCCAGGGATGCTGGGAGGCTCCGGAGCCGGGGCTGGGATGCAGGGAGAGCGCCGGGGGCAGAGGCAGGAGGAGGCGGACGAGGCCAGAGCCTAGCCGGGCTTCCAATAGATTCCCTGATTTATTTTTTAATTTATTTTCCGCCTCCCCACTCCTGTTTTCTCTGCCGTGGCTCTGCCCAGCTGGATTGGTGCAGGCAGGAGGGGGACGTGCCCAGCCGTGGCGTGGGCACCCCCCACGCACCTCCCCACCGCATCCCACCCTCCCCACCGCCCCCCACCCGAGTCAC